AACACGTGTTAGTACCGGAATGACACATCTATCTGCTGCTGCTATGAATCAAAATCTGGTTCCAAAGGTACATCTCTCCGTTTCGTAAGCCTTTCTATTTTTGATTCCGTATTTCAGACTGATTCAAGTATTCCATCTTACTCATCAGAAATCGCTTGGTTCCCCAAATTTTTCTTGCAGGGCATCAGTGTTCATAGAAAAGTAGGACAAAAGCCTGATATTACTGGAATTTTTATAAAGTGCAATAATTGGACTCTTTGTTAGGAAACTTTAATATATTGCAGAGTTTGTACCCTATAATGACAAAAAATATGGAAGTAATTACCCTTGCAATGCTGGCAAGAATACACGTGCCCGAGGTCGCCTTTGAGTGAATGGCTTGCAGTATTAGACTTTACTTTACAAATGAATGTTTTGCTATGTCAGAGAATTTTGATGAACATTTTTATGAAGATCATTTTTACCGTTTCTATTGTAGTTGTCAGCTCTCTTTATTCAAGTGTGGAAACAATACTTTGACTTGTACTTTCTAAATGAGAGAATTATTTCCAGGGAAAAAAGCAAGCTATTAAGAAACTGTATGTTATGGTTTACAGGTGGGCAGGCTAGAAGGAAGTCTCTTTGATTTCAAGTCCAACTGCAAAGTAAGCTGCAAAGTTCACTCTTACTCTGTCACCTTCTGACAAATGTGCAAATGCCTTGATATCAAATGCTGAAATGATCTTTTTTGCAGTTCAGGTTTTTTTTTCCTTTAGAGAGCACCTCCTATTAAGCTGTCAGTAATACTATTTGTCTTGGATTGTATTTAGTATTTTTAAAAACCAACCTGTAACTTCTAGACTTTGCCTTTCCATGACATTTGCAGGCTAAGCACCCATTTGTTTAAGAAAAGAGGGATGGAGCACTGAAAGAAATGTGCTGACCTGGAGCTAACCCTGCGTGTTGTCAGTGTTCTCAATATTTGAAAAGGAGCTTCATTTGTAAACCAGGTTCCCAACCTGAACTGATTTTATGAATGACCTCTGTATTGTATTATTGATTATCAGAGAATGTATTTGAGAGTCACAGCATATTTCAATTGTCAAGCATGAACTTTATTTTCAAACTTAGCTGGTATAATATCAGGGCATATTATCGCATGTCATTAATTCCAGTAGCTTTGTTTTCCAAAGAAATAAAGTTACTCTTTTGCAAAAGACAAAGAGAGAAAAAGAGTCAAAATGTCATATGAATGAAGTGGGTTTATTCCTCTCTGTAATGTATTCTATTGGCTTAATTTCATAATATTAAGATACAAAAGAATGTCCTCTCCAGTATATTACTGTAGTGAGAATCCTTGTTTCTGAAGCAAACACCAAATTTATTTGATACTCTGACTGATTTGAGAACAACTTTCCTCCCATCCCCAGATGGTGTCTAATGTATGCTTTGCCCTTAATGAAGATTTTTTGTAAAGTACATCTTATTGTAGACCTTAGGGAAGTTTTTGACACATGTACTAGATTTAATGTTTTTTATTTTAAAAATTACACTTTTCATTCAAAATCCTCCAAAAATATTTTTAGATTTTTTTTCCTTTTATATGTTATATGTAACAAGAGCATGGGTTAGCTTAAACTGTGCAGTTTTGTTTCTGTGTGCTGTAGCTTTTGATCAGGATATCTAGCGATAAAACTTTTTGGAATAAATTCTCTTCCTGAATTATTTTTCCCCTTTCTCTTGTAGCTGCATAGTTGGGTTTGGTTTTCTGTGCCTTCTGTTTTAAATTATTTCAAGAATATTTTTTCCAGATATTGCTATCTAATTGTATGGTATTAATGAAGGATGAATGAAAATAAAAGTTCATTCTACACATTGTAATAACTCAAAGTATTGTCTCACTCTTTGCAAAAGATATGGGCAGCTCAATGCAGACTTGGTTTAAGGATAGGTTTTTTTCTTCTGTGGTTTATCATAAATTACAGATAGTGAAAGTATGAAAAGGGTCTGAGCACATGCTTATCCTGCCAGAGTAACATACCAGCTGTTTAACCAGTAATCCCAGCACTGAGAAGTGTTTCTAAAGAGGAGGTAAGATCTGCACCTCGTGGTACTTTGCCACAAGTAGCGTTTCCTCTTTCCCCCTCAGTGCCAGCTGGTACTGATCAGCTGGAGGATGGTTTCACAGCAGAGATTTGATGCAAGGAGACAGTCTTGCTGGAAACATCAGTTTTACAGCTGAAACCCGAGCCTCCTGGTTATCAGTCCCCATCTCCATCTCCTGCAGGCAAGTATGGTCTATCTTTAGATGTCTGCGGTTAAGAATCTGGGATCTCCACTTAAGAATGTAAACCAGTTTATTCTGCCTCATAGAATGCCTGTGAAGTGAAATCTGAAGATACTTCATTTGCCACTCTAAACTTTCTGTTTAGAGTCAGGAACAGCTGAGGGAAAAATTCAGCATTACAAAAGAACTACGAATTCATATATTTGCAAATTCCCTAATAGATCTGGGGTGGGTATAATCAAAATCTAAGCCTGGATTTTAGATACAATGCGACCCAGATAACATCAGAAGAAAGACAAGTTCCTTCTAGTTAAGAAAATTCACCATTTACTTCAGAGGTTATTTTAATGGATCATAAAAATCTATTAACAAACTAAGGTAGAAGATCCTGATGACGTAAAAGCATGTGTATGCCAGGCAGGGCAGCAGTGATGGCAAATACGGAGTTAAGGCACATATTTGATGCCACATGGCCCAAGAAGATGTTGTAACACCAAGGAATCAGTGAACATCCTCATTTCAGTTGTCTCAGACAACTTCTACATGAGTTCACTTACATAAAAAGTGGTTATCTGCTGACACACAGAAATTTGCAGTGTTCTAATCACACCTGACATGAATCTGTCCATAGAATCAGAGAATGTTAAGGGGT